TCTTGCGGGTTTTGACAAGTCACAACTCATCATGGTTCAACTAGGGGGGAAGCATGAGAGACTTGCATACCAACAAAGTCAGATGAAATAACACCACAATTCAATTTATTTGTCTTGTTGTTTAATGTTCAATTACGTTAAAGCCTAGCAAAGCAATTTTCCAACTTGAAAATTTAATCCTTTATAAGGGATACTGTTCCCATTGGCTGCCGTCAATGTAAGGTCACAATTTTGTTAACAGTTCACCCGTCTTTTAATAATACAGCAGTTTGGAAACCTTTCAATACCTTGGTTGAAACAATAGAACTGTTTTCCCATTAATTTTGCCCATAACCGTACAACTTCGACTTGCAAGATTAATTTTTCATGTTCCATCGGAGTGAGCTCGAGATGGAAATCTCAGAACGGTTGTCTTGTGAGCTATAGACTTGATTCTTTCGCTTAACTTTCATTTTGATGGGATTACACACTGTTTTATGATGAGGCCAATGAACTCTCTGACATGTCTGGTCAGGGCCGCCGGGGCAAGGTGGGGGAAATTACAATTACTCCTCCAAAAAAGTAATTATTACTAATTACTTATTACTGTCTTTCAAATGTAATTAATTACCGATTACTAATTACTTTTTTAAAAAGTAATTAATTACTAATTACTTTGAAATTTCTTTCAAGTTCTCATGGACTTAAACAACAACAAAACGGTTAATTCAAAAGGCAGTTCCAAAGTTAAGAGTTAAGACTTATGCAACAGTATTAAATTTGGAGTTCAGCTTTAAAAGTAGAGCCGACTCAAAATGGTCATCAGTTAACTGATTTCAGTGCGGGCGCATGATCAAGCCTCCACAGCTGAAAAGACGTTCAACAGCTGCACTTGCAGGCAATACGGTGCTCGGCTTCAAAGTCATTTGCTTCAAAGGTGCAGTACATTGTCCATTGTAAACTGTGGCATCAATAATGCTTGAAGCCAAGTAGGTATCGAAAGGCGATTTGGTTTTCTTCTTCATCGAAAAATTCATCGTCATCATCGTTTTTTTAGAAAATAATACTGAAAAGTGCCCAAAAGTAACGCAAATTACTGTAGACTGGGGAGGACATGTCCCCCCAGCTCTCTAACTGGCTCCTCCAGTCGAGTCAATTGACTCGGTAGGCCAGAATTTGGGGACTGAAATTTAATTAAACATATCGCCAGAAACCTAAATCATGACTAAAATAATTTGCTCATGGAGAAAGGCATGAAATGGCATTTTAGGACGAAATTCTAGTTTAGTTTTTCCAAGCAAAGATATTCCAAAGAGACCACCCTATCTTGCTCTTCAGTGACACTAGACAGGTTCAGATTTGACTTCCACTACCGCTACCTCTACCATTAAGGGACCATCAACCAATCAGATACGCTTAATATATCCGATTAACCAATCAGATGCGTACTAAGTCAGTGAGAGGTAGTGGTAGCGGTAGTGGAAGGCAAATCTGAACCTGTCTACTGTCACTGAGAAGACGGAGCCGTCGATTTCAAGTACCCCAATACATGTACTGTAAAATTTGAAGTGTGGTGAATGATAATACTATACCACACACACACACATTTTAATTACCGCATCATCACACCATGTTGCCTTATTGGGACTGGATTACATTTGGGAGACTGTGAAATTGTAGTAATTGTGTCACTGTTTATAAGGTTAATTTCTTGTTTAAAAAAAACCTCCTCAAAATGCAGGAAATAGCTTATCTTCAAGAAATCCAAAATTTTCTTGGGGGCATGCTCCCAGACCCTCTAGAAGCTCGCACCTTCGGTGGTCAACTCGGTTGTCTCAGAATCCTAGTTACAGCCTGATCTGCTGCCCTATGACGTATACTTATCAGTTAAACCATGCATATATATGCTGGTAGCTGCAGTGATACAGACTTGCCGACTCAAACTTCTCCAGACCCCCCGCTAAATATGTCCCCTCCAGTTACACATCCTTAAAAGAGGCCCTGAATTCCAATTGCACCATTTAAATAGCTATTGAGTATTGTAACAGAATTATTTGGCAACAAAAACTGATAGAACCTGGTATCTTTTGCTTTTCTGAAAGGGTGGGTCATAATTTTTCAGCACCAATTTAAGGGTGGGCCACAAAGTTTCATGCAGCCAGGGACGCCGGAACTGGAGGGGCAGGGGGGCAGCCGCCCCCGTTGCCCTTTACCAGGAGGGGCAAGGGGGGCAAAGGTGCCCTTTCAATTTAAACGATTGCCTTGGCGAAATAGCGAATTGTCAGAAATGTTAGTGCAATTCTTTTACGAATTTGCTTCAGAAAACGCAAGAAATGCAGTCATCGAGCTTTAAGAATAGCGCAATCGTCTGGCGGAGAACCCCCTCACACCCCTATCATCCAACAAATAGAAAACATGATTAGGCAAAGTTCAACTCCCGATGTTTTGCAAACATCTCTTAGTATATATCAATTCAAAAGTGCCCTTTCACGAAAATCTGCCCCCCTTGCCTTCACATCGTTCCGGCGTCCCTGCATGCAGCTATTAAGGGGTGGGCTACCAAAAGTGCAGACACCAAAAATATGATTTTCCCAGCCCCCTTTTACTTTATGACCGGTCCCTAACAACAAATTCTAGCTAATAAATGCAGTCGAGCTGCAATTTAAAGCAGAGTAAGGGCAAAGAGAAAAATACTCTGCATTGACCAGTGAGGCGTGCTTCAGGATTTGTACCTTCAAAAATCAGACACAGAATCTGGCTAGGGCTAGCTCTCGAGCACTGTGCAACTAATTAATACTAAACCACATCATGTTGCATGTTTACCTTGTATCCGTCTTTAAAACGTTTCTTTTTTATTTTATATTTATATTCTTTTATACGTTTTACACGCATGTCATATCAAAAAATAAGACGGAAAATCATTTCTATAACTTATAATATTTTACATTTTTGCGCATGCTTCCCAAAATAATATGTCTGAGAAGATGGGAAAATACATCTTTACACCAAGACAGTGCACGTCAATGGTTTTTGATTCGCTAAAATACCATGTTTTCATGTATATAATCACTAGATAGACAGATAGTAGGATCCTTGTTAAACGCGATCCTTGTTTTACTTAACAAATGCAAGTTCAATAACGGTTGAGCAATTGCGATTATTCCTGTAATGGCGCCATGTGGGGGGAAATGAAATATATTGCATTTGTCATATCTTCGAAATGAGATCGGTGACCCCAACCTCTTTTTCTGTGTTTACTATGAGCATATCATAAACTACACCCCTAGGAAGTTTCAGCAAATTCTCATTTCCAGAACAATTATCACGACGCAGAAATGAATCATTCAAAGAATCATCGGGTTTCATGCATGCATCCTGTTGTTGTATTTTTAATCGATCAGTTGGACATTTGCCCGCGTTATTTTTTTGGACTGGTCTAAACTTCGGCAAATTTTTCCCCAACAAATCACTCATTAAGTTCTTTGAAAATCACTTATTAGTCTGATTTCCTTTAATGTTTGAATTTCCTCTTGCAATGAGATAAACTCATTTGCCTACTCAACCTTTTGGCTTTAATCGTGAGATTTCATATTTGGAATACAACCATGCCACTTTTTCTGGCTTAAACCATGCCACTTTTTCGACATTTGGGCCCTCTACGTTAACTCTTTCATCCATATCTTTCTAAATAGTTTTTAAGACAGTGATTTTGCCCTTCGTTGAATAAATATCTTTCTCTAATTTGATGGAAGTAGCAAATTCTTTTTAGTTCGACCTTGGTGTAGAGTAGGAATTCAGATTGTGATGTTTCAAGACTCTTTCATATACCGTACTATTAAAACCTGCACAAACAATTTACAACTAGATTAATAAAACAATCGACTCTAAAATTTTCAACCATCTATAAAACATTAGATATACTCGATGCAATTTGGGATACATGTCAGGGCTTGTTAAGAATTCGTCCATGGAGTTCAGTGGAGAAGAAAGCGTGACAACCATATTAGTAGCTGTATACCTGATTCAGACCTCTGCCAGCAGGGAACATTCAAACACGATGTCTTGTGATTTTCATGTGATGGTGGACGGGCGGAAAATGTTTACATATTTTATTATTTTATTTTGGTGATCGTCAAGGGCACAATGACGTCAGCACTGACGCCCACTGATATAATGACTGTAATGATTCAGCAGTGCCGTGGGTCCAGCCACAGGTGGCCCCTGTGGGGTCAGTGTCCTGATGTATTGTATATTATAGTAAAAATATCTCAAAAATATTTTAAAATGAAATTTACTTGCTGCCTATTTCACTATTTGATAGTGTGTGCACCTAATAATATTTTCGTGTAGGGCTACATTGGGCTACATAAAGTACTACTTACCAGACTTACCAGGTCGAGGGTGAAGAGTATCAATATAAACGCTACTTTGACTTGCGTAATAACTAAAACTATTGTGCACTGATTGATAGTGTGTAGTCTCCTTTTATTCCTGTTTTGCTTGGCTAATATTTTACGAGACTTTCAGATAATAAGGATTTCAAGTATTATCAAATAGAGCTACCTTCACTGCACGCACGTCAAACTGTCAAAGTAGCGTTTATATTGATACTCCTCAACTTGATACTCTACACCCTCGACCTGGTATTATTAAAAATAGAGGATGTTACACGGCGGCGCGAAGATATGACGAACGAGCGCAGCGAGTAAAGACAGTAAAATATTGTTTTTAACACGAGAAGATAAAAGTCATATCTTCAAGCCACCGTGTAATGCTCTGTTTATTATATAGTCCCAAGCAAAAAATTGTGAAATTTTACGCTCAAAAGCAAATTGGAAAAGTCACGTGATCGATATCTTCACTAGTGAAGATCAGGCCCGGAGCTGAGGGGGGGCCTGGGGGGGCAAGGCCCCCCCTAGCGCCAAGGAAGTAAATTTTTTTTGTGGAAGGTGGAAGCACTTCAATTTGTGGAAGGTGGAAGCACTTCAATATGGCTTCCATTGACATTGTCAGTGTGAAAAATGAATAAAACATTATTGGATTACTTCTCGAAAAACCGGAAAAAGTCAAACAACAATGAAGGAGAGTCAAGAGAAAGTCAAGAGAGCATATCAGAAATGTCGGTATCTGGTGAATCCATTGATGATGACAGCACTAATACGACTATCGACGCCGATCATGAGCATCGAGATTCAAGGAGTGAAGCGCTGCGAGATACTGGCACGACCGTCACCGTAATAAGCCATCCATCAGGTTTGAATTTGCAACATGAAAATCGTGGGCAAGTCCAGGAGAACATACATGGACCTCAACTGCCTCAAAACGACCATTCTGGAAAACCAAATTTTTTTGATAACAAGGAAGGCCCATGCCAACCGTACTTGAAGGCATACCCAGGTACAAGTTTCAGAGGTAAAATACGACGCTTCAATTCTAACTGGTATGGCGAATATAGGTGGTTGGAATACAACACGGATTTGGACGCTTGTTTCTGCTTCCAGTGTAGAGTATATTCGCCTAATCCAACGGAGACCGTATTTACTAAAAGTGGCTATCGCGACTGGAAACACGCTAAGGACAAGGCAAAGGGATTCCAGCAACACCAATCCTCGATTGATCATTCGAAAGCAACACAGGCTTACGAAGAAGCGAAAATGCGAAATGCACGTGGCTGCCCCGTAACAGCATCTTTTGTATCATTAAATAATGATCAGAAGCAATGGTTATTTGCTGTTTTTAACGTTTCAAGATTTTTATGTGCGAATGGTCTCGCGTTCCGTGGTTCTGATGAATCCGATATTGACACAGGAGATGGCTTGTTTTTAAGAGCTTTTTCTCAACTTCTGTTTCCGCTGGAAGAAAAATGGAAGAAAATTCACAAGAATCTTCCAAAAAACGCTAAGTACACTTCCCATGACATACAGAATGAAGTCATCGAAGTCTTAGCTTCCTTAGTGAAGACCAAAATCGCCGAAGACGTGCGAAAGGCAGAACTGTTCACAATCATGGCAGATGGCAC